CATCATACTGTACATTTGATGTGGCAACGGTAACCACAACCCAGCTCTTGCAGCATTGATAAAACAGTGGCAAGTGGCTTCATCACACTTTCTGGTTCTTTAATTGCTCCCTATAATTGTGGTCAGCTCAACCACCTGCTACATGTTCCTTCTGCATTTTTTTTAGAAGATGATGTTGCTCCTCTGATAGATTATCTAATTAGGACAGGTAGTAGCTCAATTATACAGACTCGGTATACAGTCTCTTCAGACCTATGTCCACGACTCTTCTGATGTCCAAGTCATTTCAAAAGTTATCAATTGCTTCTTCTTCACTGTGGACATCCACTCCCTCTACACCTCCATCCCCCACCAGGACGGTTTCAGAACTCTCAGTTACTTCCTTGAACAAAGGCCCAACCAATCCCCATTCACTAACACCATACTGCACCTGGATGAACTTGTCTTCACTCTGGACAACTACCTTTCCAAATTCACCATTTACTTCCTCCAAATAAAGTATGTTCCTGTGGATACCTGCATGAGTCCCTATTATGTTTGCCTTTTTGTGAGCAACATGGAACAGCCATCTTTCCAGTCCTACTCAGGCCCCCTATCTCACCTGTTTGTTCAGTTACATTGATGACCATATTGCCACCTCTTGCTCCTGCTATTATCTGAAAAAACGTCATTGGCTTTGTTTCCATTTTACATTCTTCCATCACCTTTACCTGGTTAATCTTGGACCCTTCCCTTCCCAAACTTCTTTGTCTCTGTTGCATGAGACAGGCTATCTGCTAATGTTCACTAGAAACTCATTGACTGACATAGCTATCTGAACAACACTTCCTCACACCCTGCTTCCTGTAAAGGTTACACTCCATTTTCCCAGATCATCTCTGTCACATTCATCCTGATGATGTAACCTTTCACATTGACAGTACTGACATGTCTTCCTTTTTTCCCAACTGAGAATTCCCAGTGAGCGTGGTTGACAGAACCCTCCAACATATCCAGTTTATTTCATACACCTCTACACTCACTCTTTCCCCTTCCTCCTAACACTATGATGGGGTTTCCTTTGTCTTCAACTACTACATCACCTTACTTTGTATTCCAAGGACCACCCTCTGCCATTGTCATCAGTTCAGGTGTGATGCGACTATCCAACCTCTTCCCCTGCCCTCCTCTTCCAGATTCTCACAGGTACTGTTCTCTTCACGACACCCTCGTCCCCTGAACACCCACTCCCTTCCCTATGGCGTCTTTCTGCGGAAGTTTAAGAAGTGCAACACTTGTCCTTTTACTTCCTCTCTTCTTATTCTCCAAGGCTCTGAACACAACAGTGATTTTCTTCCATATCTTTCGATGGAATGTACTCAATTCTAGACTGAGTCGTTTTCTATAGAGCAGGGAAGACTGAGGGCGGACATGATTGAGGTGCATAAAATTATGAGTGGCCTTGATTGGGTAGACAGGAAGGAATCCTTTCCTTTTGGTCATTAATGAACAGCATGAGGGTGTGGGTGGTGGGACCATTGATTTAAGGGGAAACAGGTTTAGAGGGAATGTGAGGAAATTTCTTTCATCCAGAGGGTGGTGGGACTCTGGAATTCACTGCCTCTACAATGCTAGCCCCACCAGGATAGTTTCAGAACTCTCAGTTTCTTCCTCGAACTAAGGCCAAACCAATCCCCATCCACCAACACCATCCTCCGCCTGGCTGAGCTTGTCTTCACTCTGGACAACTACCCCTCCAAATCTACCATTTACTTCCACCAAATAAAACGTGTTAGATATAGACATAGACGTAGAAACCTTCATAACATTTAAGGGGTATATAGATGTGCACTTGGAGGATTATAGGGCTGCAGGAGATAACAATGTCTGGGGGAGATGATCACATGAGGAATTTGAAGACAAGGACTAGAATTTTAAAAAGGATGGTTTGTTTAATCAGGAGCCAGCATATGTCTCTGAACACAAACATAAAGATTAATGGAACTTACTGAGTTAGGACAGTGACGACAAAGTTTTGAGTAGTTCATTCACATATTCCTGAAGTATTTGTTATGGTTATTATATTGGTGCTCTGAGTTAATAAGGTTAAAATCATTTAGGAATTTTGTTGCTGGTATTCAAGACCCGTAATGGAAATGGACTTTGGGTAAGGATAGAGTTGAAGACAATGGGTGGAATTATATGGCCTGTCGAGACTGGATGGTAAGCTGTAAAATTAACTGCTGTGACAGCAGCACCATGTCCATCACCTACCCATCTCCATGAGTATTTTACAAGTGGTTTGCCTGCCCTTGGGCCATTTGAGGCCCTTAAATATATATCTTTAAGTATTCTAAAGGGAGGACCCACCAGCTGTGGTTAACTAAAGTTGGGGAAAGCATCAAATTTAAGGGAAAATAATATAATTGTGCAAAGATGAGTGGTAGGTCAGATGATGGGTAAGAATATAATGAGGATCACTAAAGACTCAATAAGGAGGAAGACCTTAGAGTATGAGAGAATGGTAGCTAGAAATGTAAAAATGGATAGAGATAGTAGGATCTAGACCCAAAATGTCAGCTTCCCTGCTCCTCTGATTCTGCTTGCCCTGCTGTGTTCATCCAGCTCTACACCTTGTTATGTAAAAATGGATAGCAAGAGTTTCTATAAGAATTTAAAAAGAAAAAGAAAAAGTAAAGTGAGTGTTGGTCCTCCAGAGAGTGATAATGGGAAGTTAATATTAGGTAATAAGTAGTGAATGAAATGAGCAAATATTTTGCTCTGTGTTCACTATAGAGGATACAAAAGCAGTTCAGTAATAGCTGTAAATCAGGATAATGGGAAAGTGGAACTTAGTGAAATTTTAACCATGAGGTAACTGATGCTAAACAAACTGATGGAGATGCGAAGTGGCAGCTCTCTGGGTTCTTATGAATTTCTTCCTATGGTCTTAAAAGTGTTGACCAGTGAGGGAGTAGATGCATTGGTGTTAATTTTATAAAATTTCCTACAGTCCGGAAAGATGCCATCAGATTGGACAGGAGTAAATATAATCTCCCAATGAAGAAGTGAGGGAAGCGGAGAACAGGAAACACATTGGCCAGTTAGCTTGACATTTATCATGGCAAAGGTGTTAGAATAGATCCTTAAAGAGGTTATAGCTGGGCACAAAGAAGGGGAGATGGTGGTGTCATGGTATTGTCACTGGACTAGTATTCTAGATTCCCTAGGCTAATGCCCTAGAAATAGAGCTTCATATCCACGAAAGCAGTTGACGTTGGGGCGGGGCGGGGGGCGGTGGTGAGGAGAGAGGAAATGAGAGGGAGGGCTGGTGGAGAGAACAGCAAGTTGCAAATGGACAGTGATAGATTAAGCAAATGGATAACGTTATGGCTGGTAGCGTTTAATACAGAGAAGTGCAAAATTATTTATTATGGATCTAAGAAAATTCAGGAGCAGTGTGGATTAGGTGCACAGAAGTCTCTAAAAGCCAGTGCACAAGTACAAAAATAATTCCAAAAACTCATGGAATTTTACTCTTTTTGTCATGGGAAATTAAAGGGAAGGAGGTTATGCTATGTATTAATATTTGGTTAGACTGCATCCAGAGTGCTGCGAGTGCTGCATTTATTTCTGGGCTCTGCATCTCAAACAGAATTTACTGGTATCTCAGAGGATGTGATGCAGATTTAGGTTGTGTAACTTAACGTTTGAGCACGAAAGATTAAGCGTTGATTGAGCTGACGTAGATAGTTGACTGAGGGATTTGATATGATAGATAGAGAGAAACTATTTCATCTAGTCGGAGAGATTCAGAACAAGAGCAATAAACTTATAGCTCGGCTGTTCAGATGTAATGTTTAGGAAGCTTTCCTTCCCCACGAAGGATAGTGGAAATCACTAACCTGCTTGTCCCTGCCACCATCTAACTGTTTCTTCACATCAATGTCCCTGTATGCTCCATGGCTACCATCCTCCTTGACCCTTTATTCGTGCAAATAGGCATTGGCAAGCCATCAGCCTTAACTCATGATCGTGCCTGGTCTCAGGCCGATTCACAAATCACTTCAGCCCTTCAACACATTACTTTGGAGTTCAGGGACAGCTATAACATGTTTCTGCCAAATCGTTTGTGCACAGGGACACACGCGCATATCTCATTTATCTGTACATTATGATTCCGATGGCTCTTAGCTTACTTTCTTAGTATTCACTCACTTTGCACTGACTTGGAGTCAGCTAGTCTCTTTACTTCACATTGCTGTCTTACCCTATACTCATTGACTTCAGCATTAACTTCAAGCTGATTTGGTCTAAGGGTGTGGCTTCCAGTGGCAGTCTGCAGATGAAAAAAAAGCCCTCCTCTCTATCACCCTGTCCACCAAAACCTCCACTCCCTGTCCATTAAGTAGGGAGTGAGCTTTCCCTTCTTTTGGGGCATGTCCTCGGGGATAATGGTCACATACCAGAGCATAAGGTCCAGTCCTTGACTTGCAACATTTGAAATGGTTTGCAGCTGGGCTTTAAACATGGTGCCAGTGGCATGAATGGCATAAGTCCCAACAATGGCAAGGACATCTATATCTCCAGCCATGTGATGCCCTGAGAATGGCAGCGGTAGGTAGATTCTTGTTAGGCAAGAGAATCAGAAGTTTTCAGGGATAGGTGGGAATGCAGAATTCAGCACAAACATATCAGCAATGATCTTCTTGGATGGTGGAGCAGCGTCAAGGGACTGAATAGTCCACTTCTGTATTTATTTCATATGTTTGTAAGACCTAACTCAATTACAATTTTAGTTGTAAATAGCCATGTTGTGTAACTAATAAGGTGAAGAGTGAAGATTTTGAGAGAAATGTAGTTCTGAGCCATGGGGGATTGGGCGTCACAAACCTCAATCAACAAAATACTTTCACTGAAAATGGAAAAAATTCCATCCTTTGCTCTTTCTTCAACTTTACATTCACTTTATAGCTGTTAATGTGGAGATAAAATCTGATCTGTCCTTTTCTTGTTTGCAGCTCTCCTGTATGCAACCATCTTTGGTAATGTGACGACGATCTTCCAGCAAATGTATGCTAATAGCAACAGATACCACGAGATGCTGAACTGTGTCCGAGACTTTTTGAAACTTTATCAGGTGCCCAAGGGCCTCAGCGAGCGTGTCATGGACTACATTGTTTCTACATGGTCAATGTCTAAAGGAATTGACACAGAAAAGGTATAGAAACTGAAAAGAACATACGCTGATCTTCTCCAGTGGTTCTTTAGAATCTTTTGACATAAAGTAATCTTCTCTTGGTGGTGTTCTGACCTTTAGATTTGGTCCATAGGTTCAAATGTCACTCTAGAACTTGAGTACACATGTATTTTGCCATTCTGCCAGTGTGCTAAGGGAGTAGTGCATTGTTTAAGTGTAAGAATTTGGGGTTCACTTTAAGTTTAATTGTAAAACCGTGTCTGGTTTTGTCCTCCTTGTTTAAGAAAGGATGTAAGTAAATGCATTGGAAGCAGTTCAGAGGAGCTTTACTATCATGATACCTGCAGTGAGTTGGTGGTCTAATAACGAAAGTTTTGACATGCTTGGTTTGTTTCCACCAGAGTTTAGAGTGAGGGGTGATTTGAATGAAGTGTATGAGCTCCTGAAAAGTCTTTACAAAGTGAACGTGAATAGGATGCTTTCTCTTGTGGGTGAGTCAATAATTGGGGGCACTATTTGAAAATTAGAGTTTATTTTAGGACAAAGTTGAGGAGAAATGCTTTCTTTCAGAGGATTGTGCACTTTTGGAGCTCTCTGACTCAAAAGGAGGTGGAGATGGGATCATTGAATATTTTTAAGGCAGAGGTTGATAGATTCTTGTTAGGCAGTAGAAGCAAGGGTGATTGAGGGTAGATGGTAATGTGGATTTGGAAACACAAATAGATCAGCCATGATCTTAATGAATGGTGGAGCAGGCTCGATGGGGCAAACTGTCTACTTGTGCTCCTGTTTCATATGTTCATAAGATCTAGGTCAATCACAGTTGGAGTTTGAGAGAACCAGTCATAGAGTCATACAGCATGGAAACAGACCCTTTGGTCCAACCAGTGCGTGCTGCTGATTTAACCTGGTCCCACTTGCCTGTGCTTGGTCCACATGCCTCCAAACATTTCTTATTCGTGCACTTATCTAAATATCTTTTAAACATTGTAACTGAGCCTGCAACCACCACTTCCCCTGGAAGTTCATTCCACACATGAACCATTCTTGGTGTAAAAAAAGTTGTCCCTCATGCCTTTTTAAAATCTTTCTGCTTCACTTATAAAATATGCCCTCTAGTCTTGAAATGCCCCACCCTATGGAAAAGACACCTGCCATTCATCTTATCTGTATCTCTCATAATTTTATAAGCCTCCTTAAGGTCAATCCACAACCTCCAATGTTCCAGTCCAAAGGTTTCCTAGTCTTGATCAGTTGCAAGACCCATTCCAGGTACAAATATTTTCATGAATCCTGCTGATTTTATTAAGTTTATCTTAACAAGTACAAAAGAATAATTTCAGAATACCACTTTGCTACAAAGATTGACTGGGCACAGGTCGCTTGTTCTTGTTTATTGACTGAGGTTCTCCTTTTTTCAGTCTTCCTTTACTTGCACTAAGACACTAAGAATAATCATTTATTAACCCTTGCTAGCCACTACCTCTGTTCATGATCAGAGACATCTTGAATTCTGTTTGGCTTATTAATGCATGAACATTGCATGATCTGTTCATGGTCAATCTTGAATTGGCTAGTAGTGTGTGACTGATTTCTTTAAGAGGAATGGTCATCTTACTGATAACACTTCCTACCGTCTTTTGATTCATTCTTTGACATGCCAATTACTTGATAAGACCATTCCTTTTATAAGAGCTTTCCCCCTATTGCTTACCAACTCCATTGATCTTTATCTACCAATGTACAATTTTAGCATCTGCACTAGTGTCACCTCCTAGTGATTAAATATCATCCCAAACATCCAAACTAATACATCTGAATATTTTCCAAAGCCTTTAATGACAAGAAGATGTGTAACCTGGAACAAATTAAATGACAATAAAAATAGCCATACACATGGGTGTGTTACATACTTTAAGTTATAAAATGAAACTTCTGAAAACACGTATGTGTCTTTGAGTAAAAGTTTTGCACTTCAAAATATTCTCATGTGGTAGCCCAAGTTTATATTAGCTTGAGCTATAATAGCAACTATAAGGCCATAAAGCTTACCTTTGGCCTGTGCCTTTTTGGCTCGTTTCCTGACTGAAAATATTGACACCTAAGCACACTCAAACAAAATATAATTTTATTCTTCACTTGCTTCATCAAGTCCAAATGATTAATTAATAAAAAAACTCGTATGTAAGTTCTGCATTTTACATGTGATATTAAATGAAGTCTCTGATCATCTGTTAAGATAGATATAAAAGATCTAATGGACTTATTTGGAAACCAGCAGGGAGAAAACACAACATATAAACATTAAAATCTAAATCTGCAGCAAAAACTAAATATAACTGTAAAATTACCTATCCTGCACCAATAAATTTGCCCAAGTGATTATCCTCCTTGAGGTGTGGTCTGAAGCTGAGCTTGTGGTTTTAGTTGCCTAAGCTCCATGCCCTTGGTGTTCAGATGTACTTCACATCCTATCAGGCATCAGCTCTTGCTCGGTACTGTCCCAGGCCTCAGCCTCTTGCTTTCACCTAGTTCTTGCATCTCAATGCCTTCAAATCTGGATTCCAAGCCCACATCCCTCAAGATGCCAGAAGTGTTTCTCTGCTACATATTGCTCACCATCTTGAGTTTTAAAAAAGGGAAGAGATAGCTTTGAATATGTGGTGAAAGGAACATGTGACAGCAAGAAAGAGGAGTCAGTTTTTGGTACAAGAGAAGCTGGACCGCTTAAGGTCTGCCATCCTGTGACAGTGCCATGACTGGAAGATCTAGTTATTATTTTGTAAAGATTTATGTTCCTTCCCTAATTGAACACCTCAAAAATACCATACCTAAAACTGACGTGATGAATATTCCATTTAAAGTTCTATTTTGAAAATTTGTTCCAGATGCACTAACTAAGCAATACAAGTTTTACACTGCTTACACAGATTACTTGAAATAGATTGTATAACATGCCATAAAAATAATTGAATGATACATTATACCACTCTAGTTAGATAATGGTTAAATGTGAAAGAATAATATGTTAGTTTCCTGTCCAATCTTGACTAGCTTGTAATAATTTATGGTTGATGTTTTGAGTTGATTTTGATTCACTTTGGTGGTTTTTGGCTCTTACATTGTAGTGTGACTGCATAAGGGAACAGCTGTTCCTTTGTAGTTGCTTAATAAAGATTTGAATACTGTGGAGACTCCCTTTCAAGTGCAAAGTTGAACTGTGAATATTGCCTCTTCAAATTTCTGTTTGCGCTCATTAACTGTCAGTATAGCAGAAAATAGGTGTCGCTGTTCTGTGATTAAAATTCTAATTCACTTTAAACCTTTGGATCTCCAGAATAACATTGCAAAGTCATGTTCTTATTTCAATACCTTCCTTTTAAGTGTCCTTGAACATGTACATTTCAGTTATATTTAGGACTAGCATCAGTACAGTGTAACTTCTGAATTTGCACTGAACAACAAACATGTGCTATATGAAACCCATAAGTGTTAGTTTTGATTATTTTTAACTTGGAGCATTTCTCAAAGAAATAGTGAATTCAGATTTAAATTCAAGTTGAAACCCATAGATACAGCAATTTTATGCCTTTGTGGCAAAATCTTCTCAACATTATTCTGAAATCAAGGCCAGAAATGGTGTAGGCACTTGTCAAATATACCGCCCCTGCAGCATGCCAGTTTGTTGCTGGTTGTAATCATTATGGTCAGGCTGGGTGTTGCTAATGCTGGAGGGCAGGACAGGAATTTTATTTCCCCCCCCCCGATAGTGGTCAAATAAAACTGTTTAAAAAGGCAGTTAAGATATTTTCAATGTGAGATTTTAAATGTTCAAAAGGCTGTACAGGCTACCACACCTTGAGAAATTGATCGTTTGAAGGGAGGTGTGTAGAGAATGAGAGCCGGCTTTAGCTTCCCCACAGCATGTCCCCACACTCAGAAGAAGGTCAGTGGGTCAAAGAGGGACTGGTATTTGGTAAGGGAGTGTGTTGGCACTGAACAGGTGACAGGGAGAGTGGGCAGTCAGCACCCACACTTTGAATAGAGTCATCACTTTTCTGGCATTGGTTTCCCAGTGGATCAATAGAGTAGCTACTTATTCAGGAAAAAAGGCTGTGCCTAGCATTAGCATAACAGTCCGAGTTTGGATGCAGAGGTGGCAACACCCTCTGCAGGAAGAGTAGAACACTATATATCAGGGAAGGGGAGAGGAAACAGAGGTTAGAAAGCAAGACCAAGCCTTCAACACAGCTGAAGATGAAGCTACCTGTAGCTGACTGAGTATCAGTGCTACAGGAGACTGTGATTCTCCAAGCAAATGGCCATGGAGAGATCTGTGACCTTGGTGAAATTTCCAGTGACTGTCAGTCATTATGGCCTTGAGTTTTATTTTTGCTTCTGGTTCCTTCCAAGCATCAGCTGCATACCTCTGTGGCATCATCTAAATGGTCACCATTGTACCTTGTTGGTCACTGAGGCTGGATGCAATGTCATCAGGCCAGAGGGACTTTCATTTCACCTCCATCTTTGGATCGCCCAGTTCTAGGGGATCATAACTTGCACCCAACCAAGAACCTCGTGACTGGTCAGTGAGATCCGTGAGTAAGAAAGGCATCCATTCCCTCAATGTCCAGCTTTTCTACATCCACATCACAAGCTCCAGGTGTGTGCCCACTTCTTTTGCAGCTGCCGTGACTGCCCCATCATCTGACATTCCAGGACACTCCGCCCTTCATTCCAACCCTCAAAATGCCTGGATACATTCTTGGGGCAAGGGATATCCCTTGAAGGGATAGGTTTTCGTAACTGTGGGAGCTACAGATGGAGCCCCCACAGGTGAAGCTACTCAGTATGTCAGCCATTGATAGGCCATTCAGGTAGCTGGAGCATTTGGTGGCTCTTTCCCTTCAATTCCCCCCTCCCCATCAAGACTGTGAGGATGCTGAAGACCTAGGAAGAGACAACTCATCATTGGAGCAGCAGCGCATAAAAGGAAGGAATTGGAGGCAGAGGACTTGGAT